AGGCTGGTCTTGAACTCACTACATAGCTGAGGCTGGCCTCAACTCAGTTCTCCTCCTGCCTCAGCTTCCTGAGTGCTGGGATTACAGGCATGTGCCACCCCACCCAGCTCCATGCCTAGTCTTACCTATATGCTTCAAAATTGCCACCCGAGAGGGCTGAACATTCCCAACACAAAGAAATGATTAATGTCTTAGGTGACAGAAATGCCAATTACCTGATCTGATCACTAGGTTGTATATATGTATTGAAATGTCATAGTGTATCCCATAAACATGTACAATTATTATATATCAATTTAAAGATATATTCTTAAAAAGACACAAAGAAATACGGCTTCATAGTATTATCCATTGTGCTACTGGTTGGGCCTTCAGTGTTTCCCAAAGGCTCGTATATTACCTTGGTCCTCAGCCTGTGGTGCTACTGCGGGAGGTGGCACCTTCAGGAGGGGGTCTAGGGGAGGTCTCAAAGGGGCCCATGGTGTCTTCTCCTGTTTCTTCTTCACTTCCCAGCCAGGGGATGAACAGTTTCAGCAGGCAGTCCTGCCTGATGTGCTCCTCACCACAGGCCCCAAAGCAACATGGCCAAGCAGCCATGGACTGAAACCTCCAAAACTGTGGTCCTAAACAAATCTTTCCTCTTTTTAATCTTATTATCTCAGACATTTTGTTACAGTAATGGAAAGGTAACACAATTAAGATGGCTATAATTTTAAAACAAAACAAACACAGCTGAGTGTGGTGGTGCATGCCAACAGTCCCAGTTATTTGGGAGCATGGGGCAGGAGAATATGGGAACTTGGGGCAGGAGAATTTGGGAACTTGGGGCAGGAGAATTGTAGGTTCAAATCCAACCTGTGCAACTTAGCAATGCCGTCTCAAAAAAAAAAAAAAAAAAAAAAAAGTTGAGGATGCAGTTCAGTGGTAGAAAACCCTAGGTTCAGTCCCCAATACTGAAAAAAGAAAACTCATAAAACAAACAAAATCAAAATTTAAAAATCTGCAAGCACGCCTTCCAAAAAACCCCCTAAATTGGTAAACAGCAAGGAAGTACAGCACTTGGACTCGTGCGAATGCAAAATGGTACGGGCTGCATGGAAAACAGTACACTGGTGCCCCAAAACTCACACAGAGAACTACCATGTTATCCAGCAATCCCACTTCCAGGTATGTATCCAACGGAACCGAAAGCAAAGATACTTGTCCATAGCAACATTATTTACAGTAGCTGAAAGGTAGATAGACCCTATCAACAGGGAGGTGGATAAACAAAAGGTAGCACAGACATACAGTGGAATACTACTCAACCTTAACGGGGGCTCCTGTGACCTGCTATGAAACAGATGAGCTTTGGTGACATTATGCTCCTGAAATAAGCCAGTCACAAGATAATGCAATACAACTGCACGTTTATGAGTTACCCAGAGTAGTCAAACTCATCAAGGGAGAAAGCAGGACGCCGCTTGCCAGGGGCTGCAGGGAGAGGGCAGGGGGAGCCACCATCAGCGCACGCAGAGTTCCAGTGTGGTACACGGAAAGTTCTGGGGAGGGATGGGGCCGTGGCTGCGCAACAGCATGAACAAATGTAAGGTCACTGAACTGCACACCGAAAATGCTTAGCCCACAGCAGTGAATGCTGTGAGTCCTTTACCACAATTTCTAAAAATTAATTTTAATTTAAAAATTAATTTTTCAGAGCTCACGATTGGTGGTAGCACTGGAGTTCTTTTCTTCGTCCTTAGTTGGCTGATTACTTTGAAGAATTTGCTTCAAATTCTGGGTGCTGAGGGGCAAACCAGGGAGGGGCCAGGGATGTGATGGCGAGGGAGAGGAGAGCTGGCCTGAAGCTGAACACTGTGCAGATCCTACCCCAGAGGACAATTTCCCTGGCAGACAGAACAGCGTGGGAGGCTCCGAGACACTGCCATCCTCCAGGGCTCACTCGGGCCCAGTGTGACCAGCCCAGCAATCAGCCTCTGTTGGCCCAGACCTGGGAGTGCCTGGAGGGAGAAATGTGGGTGTGGGCCCTGGCTGTGAATAGATGGGGGCGGCTCCTAGAGTGCAGCTAGAGCTCTGAAGGCTGCCCTTCCGGGAACAGCCCAACCCATTCTATGACCAGGAAAAAATAATTTCCTTGGGAATAGGACATTTTCTCATTGACAAAATTTGGACAAAAACCACAATGAAGATGACAAGACTCAGAGGAGGCCGAGCAAGGACACCTTGGGCTTACATGGCCAGTTAAGGCTTGTGGCAATCAAGGGTGTCCTGTGACAAAAGCTAATAAAACAGCATGTAACCATGGAGACCCATAACTGAGCAGCGATTGTTTACGGTAAAGTTAGTGGGCATTATAAATCGGTTCTCCTCAACTCCAACTGCCTGAGCTCTTTTAAGGATGTCTGTGTTTATACAGTGCTGGCAGGGAATCCAATGACAGAAAAACCTTAGAGTTAGGGCTAAGAGTTTCTGCTAATTGAAGACTGTCCCTCAAAAGTACACGTGAAATTATTTGTAAACTCACATTGAAGTTTACAGTATGGCCCACTTGTGGTTATTGCCATGACAATGATCTGTTGTTGTTTGTTTTTTTGAGACAAGGTCTCCCTTCCTACCTCAGGCTGGCCCTGAACTCACTATGTAGCCCCAGGCTGGCCTCGAACTTGCAGCAATCCTCCTCCAAGTGCTGGGATTACAGGTGTGTGCCACCACGCCCAGCAGCTGTTATTCTGAGACAAGGACTCATACTTACACTACATAGTTTAGGCTGGCTTTGGACTCACAGTGATCCTCCAGCCTCAGCCTCCCAAGTGCCGGGATAACCGGCATGTACCACTATGTCCAGCAATACCCACAATTTATTCTACATTCCCCACACAAACTTCTGGCCTCCCTGAGCTTCTAGCTAGGTGTGCAGGGAAAGTACATTCTCTTTCACATCAATCTCGGGAACTCTCATTTGTTTTCAACAGATTCAGGAGCACACACTGTGTAAAGGAATGAGGCTAGAGAAAGGATGCTGGGAGACAGACAAAGGCATCTTTCCTTCCTGGGCTTCTCGTGATACTCCATACCCCCAACACCCATTATCTGTGTCCCTAGGCTGGGTCAGCTGCTGCTAGACTTTCCTTGCTGCTGATTCTGAGCAAGGCACTCTGTTCAAGCTACGTGCTGTCTGAGGGCAGGGCTGTGTCTCCCCATAGGCTGGGACTCCACCAACAGCCACAGTAAAAGCTGATATGGGGTGAGCAATTGCAAGGAGCCAGGAATTACTCCAAGCACTTCACATATATTAACCATTTTAATCCCCACCATAGTCGTCAGATTGGTCCTACTATTATCTGCATTTAGCAGATAGAGAAATTCAAGCCTGAAGGGGTTACCTAACGTTCCCAAGCTCACACAGCTAGTTAAGTCCCAGAAGTCCTGCCACCTTCCTCACACTGGGGCACAGGGTGGGGCCTCTCTTTAGCCTGGGCCCTATGCTTCCTGCACTTGGTTAGTTTTCTGCCAGGGACATCCGGGGAGTTGCAGGGGAGGGGCTATTAGAGGGCTGTCATCTCTATCAGTCTGGAAGCCCCCTATGGGGCTGTCCTTCCAATACAGGGGAACTTCCCCACCCTTTGGCCCCACAGGGTTTGTGCTGCCCTTTGCCCTCCCCAGATGGGACCCTCAGAAGACAGGGACCTGGCACTTCCTCAGAGGCTGTCCTAGGCAGGGGCTGTGTGCGACAACTTTGATGACACCCTGGCTTTCCCTCCTGCCCAGCACTGCATCTGACCATGGCGGCCGCTCAGGGTCTGTGCGTGTGTGGATGATTTCTCTCTGGTCCAGCTCCTGGCTGGAGGGCGGATCTGAGCGTGAGGTGGGTTGGCCCCAGGGATTTAACAGGCAGTAAACAACCCCATTCATGCGTCAGCTGTTTTGCTCCAGAGCAGCCTCATCTGCTGGACAGGCCCTGACCAGCTCCCGCCAAGTTTATCCCCTGGGTAGGGCTGTGGCAGGCAACAGTGGACGGCCTGAGCTTGGCTTGAAGTCTTTTCCACAGGCAGCTTTCCATGCCCTTACAGGCTACTTCTGCTGGGGAGAAGCAGTCTCTGAGAAGTATGAAAAGGGCTGCTTCTGCTTCTCGTGTGCCCAGCCTCCGGGGCAGCCCAAGAAGGAGAATGGAAGAGGCAGTCAGTTGAGACATAGCCCAGAGAAGCTTCCAGAACCACTGCCACTCTCTGGTCTCAGGCCAGGACCCGGGAAACCTCCTGCATCTCATTCTTCCTATCTTCTCCCTCACTTCTCAGCCTGGAACCTCTGTCCACATTTTGACAGGCCCAACCCTGTATCACTGCAGGCAAGAAAAGAGAAAGAAGACAAGGGCCTCTGCCGGAAAGTGGGTAGGAAGGAAGGGCTCAGGAGACTGTGTGCGGGTTCAGAAGTGGCATTACGGGCAGAAGCGTTGTGGAGGTAAAAACCCAAGGAGTAGAGACCATGAGCCACAGAGTAAGGTGGGTTCAGGGGGCTGGGGAGTCTAGGCAGAGGAAGCAGCGAATCCACTACTTTCTATTTAACTTCTTTCTCCAACATGCTCATTTCCCCTTAGCAGGTAGACAGATATGGCATATTATTAACGCCTCTTTTACAAATGGAGAAGCAGATTAGGTTGTCCATAGTCTACACAGAGTTTGCAAAAAAGCCAGGACTGAAATGGTTCTTTAGGGCTCTTTGGGTCAGTTTTTGGCGCACAGGATCAGGGAGCAAGATAGAACACAGATAGCACAGAATGACAGGCACCAGAACCAATCAGCTCCTCAGTGGTGGGGTGTAGGTCCCACCCACTACACCCAAGTCTAGAAGAAATCACATCAGACTGCAGAGGCAGCCACACCTTGTGCACAAATGCTCTACACAGATCCCTTGTGTCATGGCAAGGCAAACACTTGTTCACTTTTAAGGTATCCCACCCCTCTGTCCCCGGCCACAGCTGTTCAAGGGGCCCCTGTGCTTACCCAGTGGTGATGTCATCATCTTCTGTCATAGTTTTGCCCATGAGGTCACTGTCACTCATGTAGCCAGACTTGAGGTCCACCTCATCCGAGTCCAGGGACTCGACCAGCTCCAGGCGGGAGATGTGGCTGAGCTTGCTGGGGCTGCGCATGGGCATGGTGTGGGAGTAGTGGGTGCGCTCCCCGTGCATGTACCAGGCGGGTGGCCCCTCGGAGCGGCAGCTCCCACCCACTGAGGGTGCGTCGCCAGCCTGCAGCCGCGGGCTGGACTGGCCATAGCGCCAGGAGAGGGGGGACGAGCGGTTGGAGAGGCTGGACACGCTGCGAGGGTTGGCATCGTCGCTGTCATAGCAGGTCATCTCCAGGGAGCTGGACAGAGAGCAGAGGGCACAGCTTTAGTCCTCAGCACAGCCACTGAGCCTGTTCCTTCCACGTACCAGCAGTGGCTTCCTCCAGGAAGCCTCTCACTGTATGTCACCCTTACTACAGACCAGTACCCTAGGCTGTGAGGAGAAAACAACTTTAAGTGGACAGGGAAGCAGTCAGGTATACTCCTCAGAGCCTGTGCTGGGTCATACAACCTGGGTTTGAATCCCTTTTTTGCCATTCATTAGTAAACACACCCAAGGAAGGTCATGAAGCTTGCTCAGCCCGTGTTCTCATCTCATCTGCCCTCATCCACTTCATAGAGCTGAGGGGATCACAGACGCACAGCTCCCACACAGTGCTTGCTGCGCAGAAGGCTCCGGGGGCCCTGAGCTGGCCACCTGACTCAGAAGGTCTTGTTTATTCATTGAGCTCCAGGTGTGTCCACTGCTTTTTGTTGTCACTGAGCTGAGGGATGGCTGGTTCCTAGATGCCAGACCTAGGAAGGCTTGGAGTGGGGCACAGAGGGTGTAGGAAAAGCTACAGGAACCTGAGATGCGTAGCTGTCCCCAGAAAGACCTGTCACAGTCATCACCCAGAGCCCAAGGCTAGGGACAAAGCAGGGCCTCCCCAGGGAACAGAAGCAGCCTTCACTGGACAGACAAGAGATGAAGCAGGATCCCAAGCCTCTGGCGCTGTCAGGCCAGGCTGGGCCTAGAAAGTGATGCTAAGGGTACAGCCAGAGGGCTTCAGGCTAGGGGGCCTGTGGCCTTGGGAAGAGGGGCTTTCTCCACACAGGCCAGGCTGGCTGCAGACAGGAAATACCAGGCTGGGATCTGGAGGAAGGGGTGGCCTGGGCTTGGGTTCAGGCTGAGACCGGGAAGTCCACCCAGTGGAGAAGGTGCCAACCCAGTGAGCCTCAGGTCGGGTCTCAACCTCGCAGGATAAAGCTGCTTGAAATGGGGTCTGCGGGTTGCTGAGACGGCTTGAGGCTGGGCCTGAGGGACACGGAACAAAGGGGTTTCAGCGAGCACGGTCCTTTCAGAGCCACTGGCAGGGTTGGGATGGGAGGGGGACATTGATTTTTCTACTCCTGTTTTTATAAAGTTCTTTGATGAAAAGAGAATCCTCTGAAATTGTCTCCATTAGACCTGAGAAAACAGGTTTTTATTTTTCTCTCCACAGACTGGGTTACGGCCCACGGTCCTGCAAACCTGCACTGACAGGGTCCTGGCAGTTGCCCTGAAGGCCTCTCCCCTGGGCCGGGCAGCCCTTCCTTCCAGCTGTCTGTATTCCATGTTCTTTGTCACACACTGTCTTGCTTCAGCATGTAACTCCTGGGGACCTCGACACTCAGGTCCTGGGAAAGAACAGAAGCTCCCTGAAGGCAGAGCCCAAGGACGAGGTGTGGCTCTGCCTGCTCCCCACTGTTTCAGCGTGCTGCCCAGGGCTGGTGTGGAGCTGGTGCTCAGGAATGGATGAACCAGGAGTAGATCCACTGTGCATGTGCTGAGGAAAGAGCCGGGACGGTCTCATCCCAAGGCCATGCCCAGGGCCTCGTGCTGTTCAGTCCTGGATAAAAACAAGCTGACCGTGACCACAAGGTGAGGAGGAAGAAGGGGACGGTGGGGGCCTCGGGGAGCTGGTTTTGGCAGGCAGCCTGCACTGCGGTGCTGAGCGTGTGCAGTGGTGAGGGTCACACTGACATCCGGGTTCCTCAGTTCTCTTCCTGGCCTGCCCTGTTCAGCTCTGCACGGAAGATGCCTCTTTCCCTATTCCATGGCTCTACTTTATCCCCTAACCATCTCCCGACCTCTCCAGACCTATGGCGGGCGAAGTTCCAGTTCACAGCCTCAGTCCCTGACCTGCAGCCTCTCACCGGCCCCAGGCTGCTTCTCCAGGGAGGACAGAGTTTCATTTCCTCTCAGGACACAGCTACAGCCCCTGACCCAGACTCTCTCCTCCACGGGGGAAATGAGCCAGTAGAAATAGAGGAAGCAGCAGAGGAACAGAGGTTTCTGGAACGGAAATGAGTCTAGAGTTACCCTGTGAGTTCCAGGGTGAAAGCAGCCTTGCCCAAAGCACCAGGGACTGTGACCCCCTGGTGTGGCTCTGAGGGCCCATGCCCAGCACTGTGTGGCACATGCTGCCCCTGTCAGGTGCCTCCTTCCTTAGCCCAAGGAATACAAAAACACTCTGCCCTCCCCAGGGTCCAGGGAAGGGCTGACTGATAGGTAGCACTTTAAAACAGTAAGACAGTCAAGTCGGGAATGGGTGGTTGGGCTACCCAAGTGTGAAACGGCAGTAACAGAAACCAAAGGCTGAGGGAGGAAAATCCAGCCCCGGTGGTAGATCTTTTCCCTAACGGGAGACAGCAGAGAGAGGGCGCAGGCTTCCACCCCAAACCAGGCCGCTTTCCACGAAGGCTCTCAGCCTGCCCTCCCCACCCAAGCAGATGCCTCTGGGCTTCACGGGGAGCAGGGGTTGGAGTTGGGCACCAGGAGGCTGGAGCAGCTGCCTCCGGTCCTCGCCCTGGAGTGGGTGAATCATCTGGGGTGTGACCCTCTCGGCAGCTAAGCACTTTCTGGTTTCTTTGGCACAAGATTGACTGGTGACTTGGCACAGAGGGATGTTCCAGAGACTTCCCTGGGTGGGGGAAAGGAAGAGGTTTGAGATTTCATCCACTGGGTGCCTACACTGATGAGGCAGCTGGGCCAGACCCCTGGCCCCCTTGGGCTCCTGCCCAGAGCTGCGGGAGAGAGACAGGAGACAGGCGTAAGGGTGCCTGGGTCTCAAGGCTCCACCATCCACCTTCCCCCAGACTCGAGAATCGCCTTCCCTTCAGTAGTCAGGGTCCTGCTGATCCGAGCCCAGGTAACCCCGGAGAGCAGATGCTTTGATTTACTTCATCAGTGAAAGTGTTCTAGATATCTGGGGAAAGGGCTGGGTGTCCCAGATGGGAAAATGGATGGGGATGGGGCTGCAGCAGAAGGAAGGCGTGGGGTGGTCTCAGGGAGGAAGAACAGGGCCAGCGGCCGTGGATGAAAACCTGACAATGGAACTGGCTTCCAGAGGATGGTCTCAGGCTGGGCTGCATGAAAGGTAATGAGCTCTCCGTCACTGAGAGCATGTAAGTGTGTCTGGATAGTATTTGGAATACCAAGCACAGGGTGAAGAAACGCCCTGTGTCTCAACTTTACTTATCATTTCCCAGTCCTAGGAGATGGGGAGGGCCCTCCTCTCAGCCCTAGTGGGGTGCTTCTTGTGCCAGCCTCCCTGTGGACTCCCCAGAACCCCCCAGTCCTGGCGCCTCTCTGTGTCCTGCTGCCTCCTTGGAGCTGACAACATGAGCTCATCTGGGCTGCCCGGAGGAAGGAGCATAGGGGACACTCTTGAGTCACGGAGAGGCCACGGCCAGGACCCTGCTCCAGGCGAGCTGCTGTGGGACAGGCGTGTGCCCCATGCAGTTGAGGCTTGGAAGTATCTTGAGGACTGGGCAGGGGGCATGACACTATGGGTGGCGTCGTGTGCACCCTGCTGAGCATTCAGGCCTCCCCCGGTGGTGGTGGAAAAGGCCAGAGGGCACCTGACTGACTGAGGGGACCTGGGAGCAGGAGGAGCAGTTTGTAAACAAAGTCCCTTCAGACAGATGAGACGGAGGCCTGGGGGGGTGGGGGCATGTATCACAGGCAGTGCTCGGAGCTTCCTGCCACTACCACGTGATTCTCACACTGCTTTGCCCAAGTGAGACCCGCTGCTCAAACACAAGCAGCCCTGGACAGCTGCTTCTGCTGGGTGCTGCGATCCCTCTCACAGCAGCTCTGGATGTGGAGCGGGAGGTGTGCAGGACTCTGCCCTGCGGACCCAGGGTGACAGCAGCGGGCAGACCCCTCTGTAGCTCCAGCTTACCTGTGAGTCACCTGGGAGCCTCGCAAGCTGGACATGGTCTCTTCCAGGTTCTGTCGAAGATCCAGGACATTCTGCACTGTCCTCTTCCTCTGGGACTCTGGGTCTGGCAGGGGAGAAGGAAGAGCTGGGTGAGCAGGGAGAAGAACACCCTTTTGGGCATGGGGCGCACAGAGGGGAAAGTGAACACACACCAGCAGGCTGGTCCCTGGTGCACTCTGGTCCCCTGCTTCTTATATTCCTTGAAGCTGACTGGCAGAGCAGGGCCCTGACGGCCTAGGCACATGCCCAGGGGCCCCTGAAGCCTGGACCGTGGCTTCTGGGTCTGTACAGTCCCCTCGCACCCCTCAAGTGAGCGCCTCTACCTCTGGCCTTGTTTTGGGGATGCCCTGCTTCTCACAGCAGAGGTTCCCAGGTCAAGGTCAGCTGGAACATTTGCCTAAAGCCTCCTGTCCAGCGGCACCCTGGTGTCTGACAACTGACTCTTGGCGGAGGGGGACACCCTGACTTCTGTGCTGTGGATATCCCTATCACGGCCTATTTCAACCTACACCATGTCACTGAACACAGGGTTGGAAGAGACGCTAAGAGCTGGCTCTGGGGAGCTGGCCCATGCCCGCTTCAGCATGCCCGAACCCCGGCACTGACTGGGGACTTTTGGGGGTTGCTCTATGGAGTCAGGGAAGATGATTCCGACAGACAGAGCCACCTAACAGTGAGGTGGCTGGTGGGGAGCTGGGGTGGAAGATGAGCTCTGGGTATCGCAGGCCTCACACACATGACTCAATCCTGAGTCAGGAGAACACATAGGTGCTGCCTCAGAATCCTCAGTGATCAGGTACCGTTTCATTCAACCTTGGTTTCCAGGCAGCTGGGACAGATGAGATTTTACAACAGCAAACAGAAATTTCCCCATCCGTTTTCAGAGTGCAAATAACATTCACACGACCGTGGGGGGTCTGAGTAGCCTCAAACAACTCAGAGCTTTCTCCTCCCTTCCACGGAACCATCCAACGAACATTTATCCAACACATCCTCCGTGTGGGGCGCCATGCTGGGCTGGAGGGCACCGAGGACGAGGGCTGGCCTTGCTCAGGAGTTTCTTTTTCCTTTGGAATCTGATGTCCCTGAAGCCAGGAGACCCCACCCACCCCAGTGTCCCCAGAAGACAGTCTGCGGCAGGGCCCCGAGCTGACACAGAGGTGAAACAATGGCGTGGACCCTGGAGTCCGGACTCTCTTCCAGGCGACTTCCCTTCCCCCGTCCCCTCTGCGAGCCAGCCTGGCCTCCATCTCTCCACACAGACTCAGCGGGAGAGCGAGCTCCTTTGGCTGCTGAAGGGAACATTGCTGAATCCCTTAACAGGAATTTTTTTTCTAATGATGGAGTTCAGGCTGGCTGGCAGGCAGCTGCTGGGACTGTTATGGGCGGCGGGAGGCGGGAGGGCTGGCAGGGAGCAGGCCACAGCGCCCTCTCCAGGGCTTTGGGGTGACCTTCTCTGAGAGAAGACCAGCCCCATACAAGGCGGGTCATCTCTCTTTTGTCTTCTCTGGGGGACCCAGCTGCCCCACCCCCATCCTTGAGTGGCCAGCACGAGGTACCCAGCCCTCCGTGCTGGTAGCAAGAACAGGGACAAATGGCAGGCCTCCGTGCCAGGGGCCGTGCTCTGTCCGAAGCCTTGGCATCACTTTGGCTGCCAATGCCTATTTATCCTCCAAAGGGTCATCTTGGGAGCCACTCTGTGGCTTTACCAGATGGCTTGGCATAGAACACAGGCAAGGTCAGAACATGTATCCATATTTATTTTTTTTAATTTAAAAAAAATTTTTTTTGTCTTTTTGAGACAGGGTCTTGCTATGCAGTTCAAGCTGGCCTTGAGCTCACTTTGTAGCCCAGGCTGGTCTTGAACTCACGACGATCTTCCTGCCTCAGCCTCCTGAATGGTCTGATTACAGGCATGCGCCACCCTGCCCAACTTTATTTTATAGTTTAATTCTAAAATGTCCATGTGGGGACCAAGAACATGGTGTCAAGACCGGGATTCTGGACCTCCAAAGGGTATGTGTGTCCCCACAGGGGAAGATGACCAACAGCTAGATTTCTCTGTGTGCCAGACACTCTGCACACACACCATCTAGTTGAATTCTACATTTCTGGAAGATCTGTGTTCCCGTCTCTTTGTACAGATGAGGAAACTGAGATGCAGAAAGACTGAGTGAAATGTCCAAGGTCACAGTTAGCATGTAGCACAGGGCAGAGTTGAGCCCAGGAAGAAACTGGGATTTCTATTTATTGGTCACAGGGTACCCCTGCACTGCCAGCACCGAGCATAGGGACTGACCATTTCAAGTATGGATGGGTGTGGGTGTGACAGCACATGCCTGGAATCCAGCTGTGTGGGTGGTGAAGGCAAAAAGATTGAAAGTTGGAGACCAGCCTGGGCATTTAGTGAGACTGTCTTAAAGTTAAATTACAGAGGAGTGGGGACTGACACCTGTCACCCCAGTACTGGGGAGGCTGAGGCAGGGGAACTGCTGTGAGTTCTAGGCCAGCCTGGGCTACATAGTGACTTCAAGTTCGGTCTGTTTGTTTTGCCACACCAGGATTTGAACTCAGGGCTTTATACACGGTAGGCAGGAGCTCTACCTCTGAGTTAATACTCCCAGCCTTCAAGTCCAGTCTGAATGACATGGCTAGACACTGTCTCAAAAAACCAAAACCAAACAAACAAAACAGGATATAGTTCAGTGGTAAAGCACTAGCCTAGCATGTGTAAAAGATTTCTTTTTTTTTTTAAAGGAAAAATGTATAAGCCCCATAGTGACCAGCGTCAGGAGGGTCACTCTGCCCTCCATAACGTTCCAGGTCCTGGGACATGGGTGGGGTGGGTACCTAGAATTTAATGTCTTAGCGGCAGCGAACAGAGATGCTGTCCTACTTCCACCGCATCAGTCGTGGCGCCCTCTTTCCCAAGTCTCTTCCCTCAAAGACCTGCGGCCTAGTCCCTACCTCACTCCACATCACAGAGTGGCGGGACTGCCCTACAGTCTTCTAGACGCACCCAGACTGGAGGTGAAAGAGTCCTCGTCGTCGGTTCACCCGGTCACTGAGCAAGGTTGAGGACCTGGGAGGTGGTGGCCAGCTGGAGCTGGCTGAAGAGCCTGTGGAAGGGCACCTCCTCACAGCAGTGGCCTGGGCACGCAGGGGAGGTTGGGCCCGAGCTCGATTAGCTGCTGCTGGTGGTGGTGGTGCTGGTGTGTGGGGAGGTGACCGGGTTTTGGTTTCTGCTCCCCAGCCGGGATGGGTCCTGCAGAGGCTGCCCCAAGAGCTCCGTCGGGGCCCCAGCAGTGCCATCTGGTGGTCATTTTGAGTGTGCCACCCCATTTCTCTCGGGCTCAGCTCCGGGTGTGGTGGGTAAGTGCCTGAGGAGTCTGGCTGTCCTCTACATTCCTGGGAGACTGATACACTGGGTGGGGGAAGCTGCAGCCCAGGATGAGGATTTACAAGCATTCAAAAGACAAGCCTCAGGTTCAAGAGGCTGCAGACGCTTTGCCCAGCTGGCGCAGGGGAAGGGGGGGCAATGTGATATTCGTACTGCTGACTCCTCCCAGGCAAATTTTTTACATTTTTACTTCAAAAGTATGAGTAAATTTCATTTGCAAAATAATTCACCATGCGTCAGCTGGGCATGGTGGCCTATGCCTGTAATCCCAGCACTCTGGGAGGCTGAGACAGGAGGATCACAAGTTTGAGTCCAGCCTGGGCAACTCAGCAATTTAGCAAGACTCTGCCTGAAAATAAAAAATATAAAAGGTTGGGAAAGAGCTCAATGCAAAGCCTCCAGGTCTGGTAGTGAAAAATGAAAAAGAATTCATTCCACCTCTCACTCTCACCCACTCCTAACCCTCGGCCCGCCCCACAACCCTTTCTCCCCATCTGTCCATGAGGGTGAGGTCAGGGCTGAGGCACACACTCCTCTGTGATGACAGTGACAATGACCTACAAGCACAATGATTTGTTTTACTGCTAAGCCAAGATGCCTGCACGTGTCTGCATCAACTCTTCAGTCTCGATGTGGGCTGGCTGCGCCCCAGGGACACAAAGGAGCCCAGATGCAGCCGAGAAATGTGGAGAAAGACTCTGATTGGCCACCTCCTTCCTAGCATCCTCCAGTGTGGGAAGCGCTAAGGGCACTCTGGGCTTTGTGGCACTTTTGTGCAGTGCCACGGTCCTGTCTAGGCCGTGGCCAGTAGAGTAATCTTTCTCCTCCATTGCACACCAGGCCAGACACTCCTGTCCTTCTTCGAGGGCGCAGAGTGCCCGCTCCCAGCTCCTGCAGAAGAGGTCTGGCAGTGAGAGTGGTGTGTGTTTATGCGAAGCAGGGTTGGAGGGAGGCCAGATAGAGCTGCTGTTGGTCCTAGGGTGACACCGAGGCCTGTGGGGTGGACAGCTGTTCATAATGTTATCCCAGCTGCTGCTCCAAGCATTCCCCTGCAAATGGAACAAGCGGGGAAGATATGTGTGCCCCTCAGGCTCCGGAGTGATGCAGAAGTCTCCTCCAAACCAATTCACCATCTCCACAACCAGCAGCATCCTCCCAGGAGGCACTAGTGCATCTACAGGGTAGAGTGGCTTACATTTCTGCAAACCTGTGGCTCTTATTTAAGATCACAGAGTATACTATCCATGGCAAGAGTCTTAGGGCTAAGAAATGATGATCAAATATACTTGACACACCGGTGCACATGCACACAAATGCTATGGAATGTTTACCATGTGTGAGGCATGATACTAGGCACACTATTCACTCTATCTATCTATCTATCTATCTATCTATCTATCATCTGTCCATCTATCATCTATGTCTATATCTATCCATCTATCATCTATGTCTATATCTATCTATCTCCTATCCATCATCTATCATCTACTGCAGTGGGGGTTGAATGCAGGAGTGTTCTTTCACTGAGCCACATCCCCAACCCTACCCTCTTTTTTTGAGACAAGTTCTAGGTTGCCCAGGTGGGACTTACTACATCCCTCCCTAAATTCGGGGGTGATGGGTGTGTGCCACTGCTCCCGGCTTCACGTTATTTGATTTGCAAC